GCCCTCATTTTACTTGACTTCTCAGCAGCATGTGGTACTACTGACCATTGCCTCTTCCTTGATACAATTTCTCCACGTGGATATCACCAGCTCTTAGCTCACAGGTTGCTCTTTTTTCATCTCCTTTGGCTTGCTACCTCCCTTCTCTCATCTTCTTAATGTTACGGCTCAGCCCTACATCATATTCTCTATCTGTACTCATTCTCTTGGTCATGTCACTCAGTCTCATAAATCTATATATCATCTGTATTCCAATGACTTCCAAATATATATCTTCAGCCAAGACCTCTCTAATAAACTCCAGGCTTGAGCCTTATAAGCATCTCCATTTGCATGTCTGATAGACATCCCAAACTTAGCATGTGTAGAACTGGTCTTTCCTCCCAAATATGCCCCATCCACAGCCTTCCCCATCCAGTTTATTTTTATCCCATCTTTCCAGTTGCTCCAGCCAAAAACCTTTAAGTCATTTTCAACTCTTCTCTTTGTTAACTCTTCTCAACCCCAATCAACATCTATCTGGCAGGAAGTTCTGCTGGCTCTACTATTAAAATATATTCAGAATGGAACTATTTATCACCATGTCCTCTGCTAATGTACTGATATGAATCACCAGCATCTCTTACTTGGATTCCTTCAGTGGCCTCCTCACTAATCTTCCTGTTCCTATCCTTGCCCTTCCAGCCTATGCCCAATACAACCTCCAGAATGATCCCTTTTAGTCAGATGTGAAGGTATGGAGAAATTGGAATTCTCATGCATTGTTGGTGGGAATATAAAACGGTGTGGCTCCTTTGGAAAAAACAGTTTGGTAGGTATTTTGAAAAAATTAAACATAGCGTTACCATCTAACCCAGTAATTCTGGTCCTAAGTATACACCCATGAGAACTGAAAACATAGATTTACATATAAACTTTGTACTTGAATGGTTATAGCATTTTTCCTAGGAGCCAAAATGTGGAAAATCCCCAAATGTTCATTAATCGATGAATGGATAATCAAAAGATGGTTATACCTACACAATGGAATATTATTTAGCCATAAACAGCAATGAAGTACTGATACATGCTGCAATGTGGATGAACCCTGAAAAACATTATGCTGAGTGAAATAAGTCAGACAAAAATGCACAAAACATATGATTCTGTTTTCTGTGAAATGTGCACAATAGGCAAATTCACAGATACAGGAAGGAAACTAGTGTCTGTCCAGGGACAGGAGAAGCAGGGTGTGACCACTGCTGGGCATGGGATTTCCATTCCAGCCAGTAGAAATATTCTGGAGTCAAACAGTGCTGATGATTCCTCACCTGGGAATATACTAAAAACAACTGAATTGCACCCTTGTAAATAGTGGATTTTATCATATATGAGCCATTTTTCAATTGTTTAAAGCTGACTATAAAGTTTTCCGTTTCTAGCAACCTGGGCTACATTTACTAGCACAGAGGATTGAATCTGTCTTTGAGCTTCGTGGAAGTCAATCAATAAGGAAATCATCTTGGATTAAATAGCTCTTACATGACAAATGAGATCTGAAATTAGAAACTTTTCCTGGGAGTAGGAAAAAAATACAATGTAAATCTTTATAGGACTGTTAGGTTGCATAATAGATGTTGTCTTTGTGGTTTATCACGAGACACAGAAATATGTTTTTGAAGCACACTTCCTCTGTTGACCAACTCTAAAAGATTAGGGCATAAAATCAAATTGAAGCTAATGCCATAAAGGAATTTTGCCAAAATAGTACAGCCTATTTCCGGATGATCTAACTTTATGTAAAGATAAAGCTTGTGAAGCCAAAAGACACAGAGAGTCACTGCATTCCCTTAGACCAACTTCCTCAAGTACCAGATGTCTCCACTGAGCATTTGGTAAGTATTAGAGGGCAGTTTTAAATTCTGATTTGTATTGTTGATTAAATAAATGTCCATATGTTTTCGATACTGGACATGCAGGTAGCAAAGTCCATACACTGTCATGAGAATTTAGGGACTTGATTTATACCCTTCTCTAATCAAATAATCATTCTACATCCAAGTGGGGTGAACTCTAGAGATACCTGCAGATAGGGGTAAAAAGGTTTTCAAATTCAGCAAAAAACTTAGAAACTTCTCATTTGGACAAGAACTTCGTTGAGTGCCTAGCATCTGAGCTGTTAGACACGGAAGGCATAATTTTGGTCGGAGAAACTCTAAAAGCAGGTGTTTGTAATCAACGGCCTCCATCAGGAAAGATTTCAGTAGAATCCCTGCAAGATGTGTAATTTGGTATAGACCTATATTTTTGATGAACTAACTCCAAAATGTACCCCCTCAAGTAATTGGATGACCTATTTGGTGTTAGGTTATATTTGTTTTGGATACTGTACTACAATGCTTTTCTCTATAAATGTTCACTGAAGGAATACATAAATAATTTAATAAATGCATATTACAGTATGCATATAAATGTCTCACTACAGTAAGACAGGTAGCCTTAGAGCTGAATATTTTTCTTACATAATTTTAATAGAAATGTCTTGTGCTGTGCTGTACATTAACCATTCTTAGATGACAAAAAGTTGGGGATTTCCTTCTCACTTTATGCTCTTGGTTGTTTGCTCACATGTTTTCCCCCCTACGCTGGAGGTTCTATGATGATGTCATTCAGCCTCCATACTCCCATACAAGGCGCTAAGCAGTCACTCAAAAAAAAAATATGGGGAAAAAGATACTGAATAGAATCAGTTGGGGTTTTTTATAACTTCAAGTCTCTGATGCAGAGTATGTGTGACGGTATAAAGGCAGGCCAGTGTAGTGGGCACTTCACTCTAGAAGCTATAGGAGGGCTGCTAAGCCCCCTCCCGTCCCTCTGGCAGCTGGAGTGTAGGTCGATGACTAGGTATGGCCAAATAAGACCTTCCTCCTGGGGACTTTGAATCTGAAGAAATGATTCAAAGGCACGGGGCTACTTCACGGTGATTGGAGGCATCAGCGGCAGACTGTGAATTTACTGCACAGCTGCTGGTTTCCAGGGACAGCACTAACAGAGCGGCATCCCAAACAGCACATCTCTCGGCAGCAATTTGGTCCATTTGCTCACTATCTTCACTCCAGCCCCAACCTCGCTACCCAGATTTCTGTCAATTCCTAAGACACCCAAGTAACTGAAGAGTAAACTTGAAGGCAATCAGAAAGTACAAAAATACTAAGATTACCTTTCCTATTCATTTCCTTGGAAGACTTATCACTACTTACCCATTAACTCAGCCAAATAATCGTTATATTTCCCTACCATACTGCCCTTTCAGAGTTTCCTAGTCCTTCTGTGAAATAGTTATTTTTAAAAAATCTAAATGTCAGTTTAGACTCTAAATATCTAAAAGTATCTAAAATAGTGAAAAATGTACCGACCATGTTAAGCAAATGAAATAAAGAGATTTTTTCACAATTTAATATGCATGCAATATAGCCAAAGGAGGAAACCACCAAAATGTCCATCAACAGATGAATACATTTATTAAGTGAGGTATACCTATGCAATGGAATACTACACAGCCATTTAAGGAACAAAGTGCCAATATATGGGTGCATAAAAACGTACCAAGTGAGAGAAACCGGGGAAGGGTATTGGTTGCACCACATTATAAATATACTAAATACCACTGAAGTGTACATTTTAAAATGGTGAATTTTATGTTTTGTGTATTTATCACAATAGAAATCTTAAATCCAATATGCAAAAATTAGAAGAAACATAAAGTAGAATATTTAAAACAAGATCCCTTTTATTTGCTACAGAACAGGGTAGCTTGTCAAAGGAAATTTTCTGCTTGTAAAACCTTTGTAGTTCTGCTTTTTCCTCAAGAACTCTCAATGAAGTTTTCTGCCATTATGTAATCTAGTTTGCACATTAAGGAATAATATTGTGTCTTGGCGACAGAAAAATAAAGCACATTCAAAAGGCTTTTCATTTCTCTGTGATCAAATCATATCTCATTTCATTTAGACACAGTAAGGAAATTGTGAAAATAAATTATAATTTAATGGATCTTGCAAATATAATTTTTCCACTCTGGTGAAGTTTAAAGTTCTTTTATTATTGGCTAGCATTGGTTACTCAAATTTTTTTTAAGATGTGGGTATTTACATGGGAAAAATGGGCTAAAGATGCTGGGAGTTAGATAATTCTTCAAACTAGAATTTTAAAAAATGCTGCTAGTTGTTATCACCCAATTGAATGGCTCATCATTGTAAAACTCAAGTTTGCTCAGTGGAATCTTCAGAAATGCCATCAAGTACAATTTTTTATTCTAGTATTTATAATTCCTTTGTCTTTTATTTCTCTCATTTCTATCTTTTCCCCCAAATCTCACATACCTCAGTGATATATATATGGACACACATTCACATATATGTTCTAGAACCCTTCAATTATTGTTTTACATCCCTGCTAGAACTGGAAGAAAAGAAACTCCACAAAATAGCAAGTTTACAACTTTCAAAGTATCTACAGTATTTCAATGTGTTTATCTCAAAGCCAGAGTGAGTCTTTTCATTCTGCTAGGAATACAAAATGGTAAACTGTTACTTGATCTAGTTTTCCTGTATTACTTAGGGTAAATTGAAATACCAGCAATTTCAAGTTCTATTTTCAAACTATGTGTGGCTAAAAAAGGAATTTTCAATAGCCTCTTGAGTTATAGCACACAATTTTCCTATCTAGGTTCCTTGGAGGAAACCATATTAATGCTTTATAAAAAAATGAAAGCATTTCATTTCAGAAGTCCTTAAAATACAATTACTTCATTTACTTTTAGAGGCTTCATCCTAGCAGGTTTTCAACCCAGGCTCTTCAGAGCAGGTGCCTGTAATTAAATATGGTCCTGTTACCTGATTCATTTCCCGTGCTGTGGAATGAGAGCACACGCTCACTCTGCATTCATAAGGAAGATATTACAGCCCAGTTCCGTGCAGCCCTCTGAGAAATCCATCAGTGCTACAAACTACTGACCTTACCCTAAACCCATCTGCCTGCAGGCCAGCTGACTCAAGGTCTCCTGCCAGCCGTCCGCACACACGTGGTGCTCTGTGGCAGATCTGTGAACAGTCAGGAATGAAGAGGAGTTCACATTTTTAGAGAGGGTCACTGGAAAATAAAAGAGAAAATCCTAATTAAAAACATTTCCTCTCAGGAAACCAAATGGTAACTTTACATGACTTTCCTCACTTGCATTCATTCATTTTTATTTATTTTAGGTGAGAACCATTTGGTGAATAACAGCCTATGAAAATCACTGCCCACAGTGTGGTGGAGGACTACGAAACTGAATCAGAAATGCTCTCTGCCCTCAAAAGCCATAGGCTCCAATGAAAGAGGCAGGTAGTTCTTAACTCATCTTCATTTAGGAGGTGGCCAGAGGCAGGGCCCATTCCCACGTGTTAATCCAGTGACTTGCATAATTATAAGGAGCTAGCTGTAACCTCATTCCTATCATCTCCTTTCAAGAAAGCATATGAGAATGCAAGTGTGTGATGGTGATATTAACTCAGGATTAATTTGGAAAATGCATTAGTTCCTTTTATGTAAAAGAACAACCTCTGTACTTAATAAACTGCAGACTGTTTGTGAGCACTTAATCACAATACACATGCTAACTATGATTTGGCCAGATGAGGCAAGGACTGAAATAAGAGCTAAGTGAATGGAAAGAGTGATGAGTGCAGTATGATGGCGTTAACATCAAGGTTATAAACTGCAATAGTGAAGGTATTGGTGGGAGATGCCTTTGGGGTCTGTCCATGGAAAGGAGTAAGAGAAGTCACACGTGGACGTGGAGCAAGTGTATAGGGAAGATAGAAAGGCCACTTAACTATCCTGCTCTGGGACATGTCGATAACACAAGAATAACAGGGTACTGGTAATTGTTGAAGCTGGGTGATTTATTTAGAAATTAGATTCTGGCAGTTAGATAGCCCTACCAATGTGGACTCAAATGTTTTTACAACATAATGTGGACATGTCAAATAGAAAAATGGGGGGCCATTTTCTGTGACTTAGAAGTAACACACACAAACAAGCACTGTTAGCTTTTACAATAATAAAGCAAAATCTATGACCTTGACTAGTGAGGTCTGTGAAGTCATTTACGATTCACTCAGCTTCCACGGCTGATGGGCACTAGAGTGGCCCGCAGGTGGCGGGACGAGCAGCTTACCACAGTCCCACTCATCTGAACCGTCGAGGCACTCGGCTCTCCCGTCGCACCACTGGTCACGTGACACACACTCGTGGTTTGCACATTTCAGTTCATCCTCTTGGCAAAATGCTGGCACAGGGATCAAGAAACCAGAAGACAGAAACATTTTACAAATAAATGTGGTTATGACCAGCATGTACATTATCATGTGCTGGCAGGAACATGGAAAGAAAAGAAGATGAGGTCACCAAGGCCTCCAAGCAGGTGACAAGACTAGACTAACAGAATCGGTAAAATCTTACTTCATAGATGTCAGTCCATACAGGTACCAGGCATTTAAACAGAACTACTGACTCCATGTGACTAGATTCATTCTAACAACAGGATCAAAAAAGTGGTACCCCGAGCAGCAGAAATGTGAAAAATTAGGGAACAGGGTTAAAATCTGAACTGTCGTAAGCAGAGCACAGAGGATGAGCAGACTGAAGCCAACACAGGGTGAAAACTAGCTCTGTCCACAGATGTGGATAAGGGCTATATTTTTTAAAATCTCTACTATTAAAGGACTCTCTGAGTCACATCTAAGTCTCTCTTAGGTTTTTAAAAATCATAGTGCAACTCCTTGGATGCTTACTCAGCATCTGTCTCCTTTCTTGCTCCTTTTTTAAGGAGCACGGCCTTTGTCCATTGACCCCACCCCCCAACTGCCACTCCCGCCTCCACACACCACCCTCAGCTCCAGAGGAAGATCCTGATGAGTTCACGTCGGACATGGCATTTTTCTGATCACAATGATTTTTTTCTGAGTATAGTTATTCGTCTAAGAATGAACTTGTGATCCAAGATCAGGGTCTTGGCCTCTGGTTTTGTGCGTTGTACTTTGCAAGATAGTTCCTGCTCAGACCCTGAGGGCCAGGCCGTGCATCCTAGCCTGAGACAGAGGTGGCCTCGAGGAATCAGCCTCCTTTACTAATGGGTTCTCCCTAAGGAACTGCATTTTGGCAGTTTATGTGGGGTCATTTCTGATCTACACAAAAGCTTTTGACTGTTCGTGGGGATCCTGCTCTAGTTTGGCTAATCTCAGTGAATCCCTAATTGATGTTTGAGACATGAGGTCAGTGCTCCCATTCCTTCCCACTGCATGTGATCAAGAAAGCATGGCACCCAGGTGCTGTGGGCAGCTGCCTTTTGAGCCTGGTAGGAGTCAACGTGAGGTCAAGCCAAACTAAGAATCACAGAGAAGTGCTGGACTCCCCCATCCAGCCCCAAGAATCCCTTTCACACTTGACCTTTTCTATGTTAATATGTCACATACAAATATAGATGGCAATAAAAGATAGTAAGTATTATTTTAGTTAACTTGAGTTAGGCTTTCTATAACTAGTAGGTAAAACATCTTAAGAGGTAGAACTTTTTGTCTGATTCTAAAAGAAGGGGCCATTCATTTAGAAAAGGCAGACAATATAAAAAAAGAAGAGAAGAGAAGAGAACCACAAAAACTTAATAATCTCACTGCCCAGAAATTATAATTGTAAAGTTCTTTTATGACCTTTTAATCTTTTTCTATATGTGGGTATAATGTACTTTCAAGACTTAGGACAATACTACACATAATGCTTTGAATTTTGTTTTATTTACCCAATGATATGTAATGAACCCAAGAGAAATTATTCTTCTAACTTGACTTTTAGTTCTTACACATTATTTCACTTTATGGTTGTATTTTATGTCCCCTATTTTTGGATATTTGTAGCATTTTAATTTTGTCTATGTTATATATAATGCTGGGATAATAACATCATGCATTCATTCAATACATGTTTGTGTCTCTTCTTGGCATATATTCCTACAAGTGGAGTTTTGGTCAAAAGACCCAAACATCCTAACAGTTTTGATATATATTTCCAAATTTATAGCTTATATTCAAAATGAGAAATAATTAGTATTTAAAATAAAATGTTGTGTTGACAAGTTCACAGGAGCACTTACAGCAGTTGTTTTCGTCCATATTATCAGGGCAGTCGGGGAACCCATCACAGATGGCTGTGCTCTTCAAACACTGTTTATTGGATGGACACTCCCAAAGGTCTCTCTCTTTACAGCCTGGAGACAGAAGGAAAGTTCATGTGCAATAGATGTGGAGGTGAAAATGAAGATGAACTTGACCAAACACTAGAAAAACTACAACATAAAAGCCTGATTTCTTTTTCCTAAAAGTTTTGACTCCTGTATACCATAAAAATGTAATTTTGAAAGTAGGAATACTGGATAATCTCCATCCTGCCATGTAACTAGTACAGCTCTGCTGAGAGGAGATCAAATGTGACATGTAGGGAATGAGGAATAAAATGAAAAAGGAGCTATCAGTTAACGTTCATCTTTAACTGTTCCCTTTGCTTTCTGAGTCCATTTGCCAACACAAAAGACTCATCTATAAAACAGTGAGTTACGCTTTTAAGCAATATGCCAAAACCTGGTGATCTACATTCGTATTATCTAAAAATGTAATTTCAGTCAACAAATGTGGAAGCCATCCCTGTGTTTGACAAAAGAGGCTCCCTCAATGCTAAGTACCTAGCAAATGAGTTTAAGAGCCAGGTAGGAAAGCCATTACTTACTTCAGTAATGCAGCCAGAGATCTAAGGTTAGAAACTTTATCAGTTAATATGGAAATGAACACAATCTGCACTAGATTGAGACGATAAGCTTGAACTGTAGTTTGCCTATGAAACAGAGCACTTGCAATGGACTTACAGCCCTTTGAGTGGAACGCACTGCATCTCATTCATCTGCTTAAACACATCAAGGGTCTCATGTGGTCTTGTCATTCCAGTGAGCTCCATGGTCTCACCAGGCTGGGAGGTACATGAAAGACACAGGGCACTCATGTTTTGGTGCCCTTCTTCATTCCTGCCTAACAGTGGCTAGCACTTGGCAGGCCCTCAACACGTGTGTATTTTAAATGGAACTTCATTTCATATAAGGAACAAAGTCTCTCCCATATCCAAGAAAGATCACTTAGTTTAAGGCGACTGAAATGCAAAGCACTGATCAAATAAGGAGGTCTTTTTTTCAATATTATTTCTCATCTGACCTACCGCAAATAATTCAGAGAAATTTCATAGATGATTGATTCTGGTTTCTTGAAATGCATTACAAGAAAAAAAATTGGCTTTTTTCAAAATTCTTATTTAAAAATTTGCAGATGACACAATACTGTATGCAGAAAAGCCTAAAGATTCCACCAAGAATCTCCAAAAACTAATCAATGAATTCAACAAAGTAGCAGGATACAAAATGAAAACCCAGAAATCACTTGCATTTTTATATGCCAACAATAAACTATCAGAAAGGGAAATTATGAAAATAATCCCATTCACAATTGCTTCAAAAAGAATAAAATACCTAGATCTTAGTTATAATCTAACCAAGAATGTAACACACTTGGAAAGTTATAAGACACTGAAGAAAGAAATTGAAGAAGATACAAATAAGTAGAAGCACATACTGCATTCATGGATAGGAAGAATTAACATCATTAAAATGTCCATGCTACCCAAAGCAAGCAATCTATAGATTCAATTCAATTCCTATCAAAATTCTAATGACATATTTCATAGGACTAGAACAAATATTTCAAAATTTTATATGGAACCACAAAAAGCCCTGCATACAACAGCAATCCTGAGAAAGAAGAACAAAGTTGGAGGAATCATGCTACCTAATCACACTACATAATATGAAACTATACTATAATGCCATAGTAATCAAAACAGCATGGAACTGGCCTAAAAAGACATGTAGATCAATGGAACAGAATAGGGAGCTCAGAAATAAACCCACACTTTTATAGTCAAATAGTATTTGACAGAGGAAGCAAGCACATATAATGGGCTAAAGATAGTTTATTCAATAAATGGTGTTAGAAAAATTGGACAGATACGGACAGAACAATAAAAGTAGACCACCTTCTTACATCACACTGAAGAATAAATTCAAAATGGATTAAAGACTTAAATATTAGACCCCAAACCATAAAAATCATAGAAGACAAGATAGGCAGCAAAATCCTAGACATTGCTTGTAGCAATATTTTATCTGATATATGTCCCCAGGCAAGGGGAATAAAAGAAAAAAAATAAACAAATGGGATTACATCAAACTAAAAAGTTTTTGCACAGCAAAGGAAGTCATTAACAAAATAAAAAGACAACCCACAGAATGGGAAAACATATTTGCCTATACATCTGGTAGGGTTTAATATCTAAAATTTATAAAGAACTCATAAAAGTCAACACCAAAATAACAAAGGACCCAATTAAAAAATGGGCAAAGGACCTGAATAGACACTTATCCAAAGAAGACATACAGATGGGCAACAGACATAAAGAAAGATGCTCAACTTCACTAATTATCAGACAGATGCAAATTAAAACCACACTGGCCAACATGTCTATCATCACTAAATCAACAAACTACAGTGCTGGTGATGATGTGGAGAAAGGGGAAACTTTTTGCACTGTTGGTGGGAATGCAGACTGGTACAACCATTGTGGCAAGCAGTATGGAGACACCTCAAAAAGTTAAAATGGCTCTGCCTTTTGACCCAGTGATTGTACTTCTAGGAAAGATCTGAAGGAACCCAAAACACTAATTCAAAAAAACATAAGCATCCTTACGTTCATTGCAGCATTATTTACAAGCAGCCCAACTGTCCATCAATAGATGAGTGGATAAAACAACTATGGGACATTTATACAATGGAATACTACTCAGCCATTAAAAAGAAGGAAATTTCATCCTTGAATGGACAGCATGTCCATTCAAATGCATGTGTACATCCCAAAGGAGAACGTATGTTAATTTTCTACTATCTATCAAATTGAAAAGGTAGTTGGAGTTTCCTCATGACTTAATACTGTTGGTACAATTAACATGACTCCAAATGTATTAATTTCCTACACACTCTTAACTTTCCTTAACCAGGACTCTCAGTAGCACACTGATATTTTGAGTGTTCCATAGGGATTAGACAATTTATTCTATCATTTAGATTGTGTGGTTAAAGTATTGATGAAAACGCATTACTTACCCAGAAACCTGATTTTTTTAACTTTATTTTTATTGTTGACCCTATTACAGATGTCCCTGTTTCACCCCACCTCTTTGCCCACCTCCCCCAAGCCCCTGTCCCCTTTCCCTCGGGCTATCAGTATGTTGTTGTCTGTGTTTTTTTTGCTAATCCCTTCATCTTCTTTCATCCAGTCCCCCAGTCCCCTTCCCTCTGACAGCTGTCAATCTGTTCCATGTGTCCATGCCTCTGTTTCTATTTTGTCATTCAGTTTATTTTGTTCATTAGATTCCACATATAAGTGAGGTCAGGTGGTATTTGTCATTCTCTGACTGGCTTATTTCACTTAGCATAATAGTCTCTAGGTCATTTTAGAGTCACTTAAACAGTATAGCTCTTTGAAATTGTTGTGGGTTTTGGTTTTTGTTTTTTTTTTTTTTTTGCAGAATATATTCTAAAACTCAGGGTTCTTTTAGTCTTGCTAAGGTTCTCTTTTTAAACTGAATTTTTACATTTCTCAAATATTTAGTACTCTACTGCAGATTTAGGTCTAGCCACCCCATTAGATACCATGTAACCTCTTTGAATCATCTAAAATTACCCATTTAAAATTGCATCTCAGAATACCATCACCCATCAATATCATAGTTCAGTGAACAAATCCAAAAGATTCTCAACAAATCACTTGTACAAGGGCTATTCAATAAGTTTTGATTTATTCTGTACGTAAAGACCACAGACAAGCAAAACAGCAGTACTTCTCACAACACTGTATGTTCCTCTCTAACAAAATTACCCCTGGTCATCGAACCATTATTCTGACAGCTCTAATTTTCTAGAAGGTGCACTTGTCCATATTTATAGAGGCTGATAGGATTTCAGTTGATTGCTTGTGACATTTTGTCTAGACCAGATGGTCAATGTTTACTATGGAAAATGGGAGAAAGGTAGTATTTATATCTAAAAGGCCAAAAGAATAAAGTGATTCCAAAAGATGTATTGCCTTATATGCTTTGGATGGCAGGCAAAGAGTGTCAATTTTTCAAAGCAGAATAAGTTAAATAATCATAACCAAACTAGGCTTCAGATAGCCCTTCAATCATTTTGCTTTACTCTAAAATATTGTTTAGTAAAAAGCATCGCCCATTTTCTGTTCCCTGACATATTCTAAAGTTACAAGCACAAAGGTTTATAGAAAAATAAAATGGAAATTAGCTTCACTTAAATTACTATTGATACTTCTGGCCTTTCCACTAGTGACCCTGGAACTCAGTGGCAGAAACATCAGGAGGACTTTTATCCTTTGCCAACAGAAACAAAATCAGAGTGGACATGAAAATAAACCCCAATTAAATTTGAACCTTGGAGCCTGAGCTCTGCCTCTGTGTGTCTAGATGCCTATCCAACAACCTGAGAATCATATGCAAAGACAAATAACAGCTGCTTTATAATCTCCAATAATAAAAATAATTCCTTACATTAGGGAAGTGCTTCTCCTTTTACTAAGGGTTTGCACATATACCATCAAGGTAATAAACATTGTAATTTTTAGAAGTGTAATTTAGGGAAACTCTATTGAGTTAACAGGAAAAACACATCACTTCATGTCTTGCTGTTTGATAATGTAATAGGAAAATATCTTAGCATTCAATCCGAATCGTTACTTACAACTATCAGTGAACAGTTGACATTTTTTAACACAGTCGCCTATCCTAACGAGTTGGTAGAGTATTGAAGAAAAGTGTCAGCTCTCACACGTACCACAGTTTGCTTCATCACTGTCATCGTCACAGTCGGGCTCACCATCACATCTTCTGGAAGCCAGAACACACCGTCCTGAGCCACACTTGAAGTGACTGGGTGAGCATTCTGCTTAAAAACAATGGGACATATCACTGTCAATAAACAGAAAACCCAGAACCATCAGCTAATTTATGTTTACGTGTGGAATGCTGCCAAGGAGTTATTACTGAAGATAAGGCTGGTCCTCTGCAGAGCCCAAATGGCCAAAGTCAACATTGCCTTCCTCTGCCTGTTTATCAGTATCTTCCTCCTATATCCACAGCATCATTTCCCCAGATAAGCTGTCCAGTGTCTTTATACTTTCCAGCACTTAACTATCTTCCTGACTGAACAACCTGACAACTGCCGGAGCCTAAAATGCCGGCAGAGTCCATGCTTCTAACTACCCAGGTGCCTTTAGCGTGTCAAAGTTGTTTCCCACTCTAATATTTCTACCTGGTGGACAGGTCCCCAGTTCTATTCCTCGACCTGAAGATCTTATATTGCCAAGATCTCCAAATGCTTTGCACTTGAAGGAACCAAGGCCTAACCATTAAAAGCAGCATTCATATATAATGGGCTCTGTGGGTTAAACATGGTTAAAATAAATACTTGGAATATTAAATTCCTCTCTGCAACTTATTATTAAAATGAAGACCATGTCTAATAGACAAGTACCAAATTCTTCAAGCAATCAAGTTCATAGCTTCACTCACTTATGCAGCCTGATTGGCAACTTAAGTAGGAAAAAAATAGCAACAACAATAGTAACAGAAAACTTCAAAAAAGTAGCTGATACATTCATCCATATTAGATATCCCACTGGAATTAATCTGAAAATTAACCTTCCACATCGTCGTCAGGCATTAGGCAGGTTTGATTGTCTGAATTTTCTACTGGAAACTGATTGCAATCTGTGTCTTCAGGCCACTGTAGACCCACAATCCCAAGAACAGACTCACAGCGTTCTTTGGAGTGTTCACACAGTGCTCTAAATGAGCAAGAAAGACAAAACATTAGAAGCAGAAATAACTACATCTGAGACGTATGTTAGGAATCTATGTAGGGTTTTAATATTGTGTGGGTGTGTGTCTCTGTGTGTGTGGTGTGTGTCTTTGGTGTGTGTATATCAATACACAGGGGTGGGCCAAAGTAGGTTTACAGTTGTGAGTATGTGAAACATACAGTTTATTCCTGTATTATTATTTATTAAATATTGTGTTATTTTCCATACAAAACCTATAAACCTACATTTTCCCACCCTGGTATATAGATGCACATACACATAGTAAGTATTTGGGAAACCAAAATGAGTAATATCTCTACAAAGGGAATATATTCTAGGAACATTTACACCAGAAGAAATTTCACTAGAAATAGGGATCTGTTTTGTTATGTGCTCTATTGAAATATATTTGACATGTAATATTGTGTAAATTTAACAAGAAAAATACATCAATTTGAGGTGTTTATATATTGTAATAAAATTGCTGTTGTAGTTATAGTTAGTACCCCATCACGCCACATAATTACCATTTCTTTTTGTGGTTGGAATAATTTGAGATCAAGGCTCTCTGTGAGTTTAATGACTGCAACATGATAGTGTTGTCTGTATTCACTAGACTGTGCATTAGAACTCCAGGGCCTGTTTGTCTACCAGCTGCAAATTTGTATCGTAAACAACATCCAGGACACAGACTTCCTTTTCCATTTTGCCTTTCTCATTTTCTCTCCCTTTTTTTTTTTTTAAGACAGGCGCATTCTCCAACATTTTTGTTCCAAGCTGGCAGGTCCCCAGTATTAGTTTGGATAGTCTGCCACCAAAGGTCATGGAATCTATTCAACACCCTCAGCCTCAAAGTTCTCCCCCGCCAGGGACCAGCACACACACAAGCCATTTCAGGGGCCAGCCTGGTTTGCCTAACACATTCATTGCCTCCATTTCCTTAACTTAGATCAGTATTGTTGTAAAGCTTGGTACTTCTCCAAAACCCATCTATGCTGAGCTCAAGTTGGTTAAAATAAAGTTTGTTGGGGTTTTTTTTAAGAAAAAATGAACTAAGCATTGTGTGAAGTGCTTTCATTTGTGTTCTCATTTGTACCCAGAATATTTTTAAACTGAGATAACAACATGTCTCATGAAAGATGTCTTTACTTCCTGTAGGGGGAAAACATAGTTTTGTCTCAATACATTACCAAGAAATTAGATAAATACTTTTTTAAAAGTAGACACAACCAAAATAAGTTCCTAGGCAAATTTCTTATTTCCCTTTAAATACATTCTTATTTCTCAAAAGTTTTAAACCTTAAACTCTCAGTTAATTTCAACAAGGTAAGGGATGGTTAGCAATCAAATTAGAAATCTCTGTCTAGATTTAAGTCTGAACAGGATGGAGGCTAACATGATGCTGGCTTAGCCTAAGAATCTGGGGAGAAGACAAAGCTACGGCACATCCACATCAGTTCTGCAAAAATGGGAAGTTCAATTAGTGTGTCATAAGTTTCTGTTGGATTGCACAGTTTGTTGCAGATTTATAAAGAGTGCATATAATTCAATTGCTGGTGCTATTTTAAATTGATCATACAATACCCCATTTATATGGAAGACTATATAATGGCTGACTCGACCACTTCCTATTTTTTCTATAAAATGGAAAAAGTGCAGGAAGCAGTATGACAATTGCAGGGAGCACTGTTCTTATCACTATCTGTTTGGTGCTCAGGTATCTACCACAGCCCTGGTGGCAAGGGCCTCCTTCAAAAGGTGACTTTGAGGATGAGACGGCAGAAGTACCTTAAAGTATTTAGCACATAGTAAGGGCTTGATAAGGTTAGATTTTTCTGGCTCATAAGTTAAACATTGATTTTAAAATAAACAGCCTTGACAAAAGCAGCAATGTGTTGCTTCATGAATATTAGCATATTATTCTTAAGTTTTTCCTCTAAATAAATATCAAAATATAAAATTCATTTTGATATCCACCGAAAATGAAAGGTACATATGTATGTGTAAACCTAAGAAACAGAACTAAAGTATCTAAAAAGTTCACAAAAATGTTGACTGAAAAAATGTTTTAGGATCAGTCTCATCTTAGGCATTTTAATATGAAACTTAAGCCTGAATTTATAAATTTTATGTGAATATAAATTTGTTCCAGAGAATACTACATAAGGAAAATTTTATATACTATGACAAGAAAGTAAAATACAAGAATGTTAGGTACAATTGCCTAGCAAAAGTGAGATAAGATTTAGAAATAACTTTTTAACATAAAATCAGTATTTTATTAGTGAAACTTTAAAAAGCACTTAACAGAAATATTCAGAATTATGTTTGCACAAGCCAATATTATATATTATCCTTTGTATGAACTGTTCGGTTCCCCAGGTCCTTTTGAAATTTTACTGTTTCCTGCCCCACTCTGTAGGTGCCCCTACTTTGTCATCCACTTGATATTCAGTATATAATTTATTGTTTTCCCATCTGTCCACCATACTGATGTTATTGCTTTTGCTTAAACCTCTAAGTGACTTCTGATCCCAACATATGGTTTCCATAGTTACCCCTCACACGTAGGCGAGCACATCTGTAGATTCCCCCCTTGATGGAAAACAGCACCGGGGGGAACAGCGGCCCACCGCCGAGGCAGGAGTCTCGTCTACACACGTTCTCCGACTACAGCCCCTAACACGCGGCATCAAAGAGGGACCAAAGTGCCACTAAGCAGTTGTGTTCTTGTCCCCGTCATCAGAGCTATTGTTTGTTCTGGGCTTATAATCACTTGGAAGCTCTTTACATTTATACGCATTCATTTGATTTCACAACCATTACTATCCCGATTTTACAGGTACAGGAACTGAGGCTGGGAGAAACTGAGGAATCTGTTTCAGGCTAGAGACCAGGGAGAGGAGAGCCAGAACCTGAATCAGACAGTGGACTCCGGAGTGATGCTCTCAGCCATAGGATATCATTTATATCCTAGGTCCAAGATGCATTCTTCAACTGTTGTCCCTTAGGTCATTCAAGCAGATAGAAAATCATCAGTGATGTCCGTCCCTGTCCAACCTGTGATGCTGGCATTAATGTCTCCTTGTGTAATGTAGCTAACTCTTGAGTGATATAAGAACATAGCATTTTTAATACATCAGTGTTGCCAGAGAAAGAGGCAGGTATACTCCGTCTTCTGCTAACTCACATCTTTAAAAATGCTTCTTGACCAACCAAAATGACACATTTAATTTTATTTTATCAAAGTACAGAAACTATTATGAAAGATAGGTCATACTTCCCCTTTTTAGTACTTCAGGAATGAATTCTCATTCAATTATTTATTTTGGAATTCCACATTCTTTGCCTTGTAAATATATAATTTGTTAAATACAGAGCTCCTTAGTAAGATGTGCTCTTTGTCTACACTCAGACTAAGTCTTCCTCCCCTTGGTTCTCCCTGAGGGAAATGAGGATGTTTGGGAAAGACTCCATCATATTACCTGCAAGGGGGGATTCGTTGGTTTGTATTCACATCACACTTCGGTACCAAAATGGTGCAGGCAAAAAACATGAGATATTTGTAACAGTTGGTTTGAACAAGTGCAGGGAAAAGAGAGGACTCCCAGCTGATGGATGCTTCCTTCTGAGTCCTGTGGCCAAGGTAATTTGGATAATGTGTGTGGTTGTAGGGCAAATTCATGCAGAGTTCCAATGTAATTGGTTCACATTGACCTACCAAGAAAACACATGTACAGACACATACATATATGAATATCACATTTGAAACAATTTCTCAAAAAGTTACAGAACTGAAGTCTATTGTACCCTTTCTCTTTAAAGTAGCTATGATTAGCATTCAAGCAGTATTTATTAAAAGATAAAGAATTTGGTCAATGAAATGCCAAACCAAGACTCATTTCTTTATATGTGGCTGTTAGCACAGTGCTCAGCATGCATGATTTAGAAAGTCTTTCACATTTTTTCCTTTGGCTCAACTTGTCTGGAGGTGGCTTTTATGATTCCTTTTACTCACTTTAATTTGTTTTATTTTTCTGATTTATTCATTATTCTAAACTAGTATATTCCTCATCATATTTACAGCCATTTAAAAAATAGTGAATTTGGCTAAGTAGGGAATTAAATGATTTTTTACATTTTGTGGTTGATCAATGGATTTAAGTAGAAGGTTCCAAGGCGGCCTGGGATTTGTTAGCGATCCATTGCCAGTGACATAAAATCCTAACCCATTAGGTTGCCATCCAATGCAACTTCCTATTCCAACCACGCCCTACTTTTCCAGCCTCATTGCCTATGACTATCCTTTGGCAACTCCAGATATTATAAGAATTGCATGCATTTGTGAGCTCTGTTAGCTCTTCTCCTACCCTTTTCTTTTCTTGACATACTTGTAATCACCTCTCAAGTGCAGTCAGGGTTCCAGCTTCTAAGTACCTATAGCACTCACTGCCTGCAATGATCCTTTCCCATCCTCACCAACCCAACTCCTCCCCAGTCTGCAGGACTCATCATAAACACCTCTTCCAGGAAGCCATCCCACTCCTAGTCTGAGTTCCTGCTGGGTGCCAGAGCATCTTAGGCATGTTTCTGTCACTCCCTCATGACCTTCTGCTGTGTTCTTTACTCGCTTGCCTCCCACACACAATTTGAAAGTGTTTGAGAACTGAGACTATACTTTTTAATCTAAAGTCAGCACCAAGGACAGTGCCAGAAGGAAGGAAAGAAGGAAAGGAGGGGGGAAAGTCTCAGCAACTATCCTAGGCACTTAAAAGGTAAAAATATTAAAAATATATATATAGTCTCTACCATGGAGGCAGTCCACAGTCTTCACAGGAAGACACACATGCCAGCAGCTGTAGTAGAAAATGTGAACAGGCTGGGCCAGTGCAAGGAGCCCAGAGGGAGACGGTGGAGCAAGAGTGGTTCAGGAGGCTTTCCAAGGGTTTGGGCAGGTTTGGGGGGTGCGGTTGAAGGACCTCCATACCCTCTCTGTCCACAGTAAACATGCCACAGATGAGAGAAGTAATCAAACAAGTGTCTCCCTAGAATCAGCCCAAGCTGACTCAACTCCATGCCTTATTAACAATAATTACTCTAATTAAATTTCATTATTTGACTAGGAAGCGGCATGCATGCAAATAGATTGGCAGTAAGAACTGGGGTGAAATATTAAAACAGCTCTGAGACTACGTCTTAATTTATAGACTCTGAGGGCTTCACAGAGACTATGTTGATAAGAAGCCTGCCATTGGCCAGATGGAAAACGTTATGAACAAAGTGTAATGAGACTCTCAGTTTACTAGGGAAGAGACGACACTGTAAAGCTGGCACAGTCTCGAGGGTGAGTACAGGGTGGAGAGAAGAGAAAGCAGCAGAGAGAGCCGAGCAGCATAGGGAATATAGTCAATACTGTCCTAAGTATGTATGGTGCCTGGTGGGTACGGGCAATACAAGAGGGATTACTTTGTAAAGTGTATGGCTGACCACTGTGCCAGTTGGTTCAGTTTGTCATTTCCTTTGATTTGTGAAAGAGGGGGGAACATTTGCATATTTTGATTTTGGATATTTTTAAGTGAATGTTCTCTTAACAATAAAAACTGTACAAAATGCATAAAGTAAAAGTTCATCATTTCCCCGCTCCCTGTTCTCTCACTTTGTCTCAAATGAACAGATGAACTGAACCCTTCCACACTTTTCACTGTTACTATCTATGCATATAAGCTTTTTACACACATGCAGTATGTGTTTGTCTTTGCTAAAGTAGAATTGTACTATCCTACTTTCCTTCAACTTTTTGTTGCTTAATTATTTATCATGACCATTTCCAAGTCAGTAGATGCAGCTCAACTCTGTATTTTTCCTAATTTTAAAAATATTCATAAAATTTCACCAAAAAATGGGATAATTCACATAGATTTTTGATGCGGTCTCTTTTTCTTTGTATACACTTTTCCTTTCTCCCTCTCCCTCTACCATCCTACCAAATTTTAACTTTTTATCAGTGCATTTCATTTAGTTGATTAGTAGGCATGGATAATTTTTCTCTCTTTTCATGTGTGGAGAACTTACCATTTTTGATCTGGGTTAAGATATTACCTTTAAGTGTTTCAGAACCAAGAGGGATGAATGGATTAATTTGTAATCATCTATTATTCTGAGGATCGTTATTGAATGCAGTAAGATTGATTGAATCTTTCATTTTATTCCTTCATTGGGTATGCTTCACAGGTGCTAAGCAAGATAAACTCTCATGATATCTGTCAACCTCAAATTCTATGACTTATGATAACAATACGGTTTTTTAGCATAAGCCTCAGACTCACTCACTAGCCTGATTTACAGTAGCCACTAGAGGGCAGTCGTGTCACAAACATATGAGGATGTTCAAATGCCACAGGACTGTTTCCAATGTGAGATGGATGCAGCGCCTAGTATCCTGAACCTAAATGAGATTTAATGAATATCTGTTGGGGGGAAAAAACAAAAACAATGATCCTGTTGGAGTCTCAATGATACCGCACCTTTCAAAGTCTGAAACAAGAGTTATTAAAGTCAACCTAAAGACAGTATCATTAACTAAATGATGTTACATTCTTGTCATAACACAATACTCTGAAGCTACTGGAAATTGTGTAGTAAATGATAGATATTTACATAAGAAAATGTCACTTTTCAACACCCATTGGCATATACAATATTCCAAGATTTATCCTTGCCTCAACCTCTAAATCTCTCCTTCTCATTATTAGTTTTATTGAGATATAATGGACATATTATATTAGTTGTGGGTATATGCAAAATGATTCAACATATGTGCTTTATTATTTGTAATAGTTTGATGAGTTATTATCCAGCGAACACCCTTGTTACTTCCACCCAGGACAAGAAACTGAACTTTCCCAGGTGTCCCCTTCACATACCCTGTCTTACGCCAACCTTCTCCTCTCCCCTCAAAGCAACTACTGGGTTCCAGACTAATCACTTCTTTGCTCTTCTTCATAGTTGTATCACCTAAGTGTGCACCACCCCTTGCTGTTATAGTTTAGGCTTCCCCTTTTTTAAAAACATGTTTGTCTTTTAAGTCTTATAATATCCAGGCCCCCCACCATGTCTTTTATTTTTCTTTATAGATTAACTATTGAAGCACCCAGGGACTGGACCTGTAGATGGTGCCAGACCTTCCTGCTTGCACACTCTTGGTGAAGCTCAATGCACATCACTGTCCTCCCTATTTCCTGAGCACTGATGGCTGAATACAGACACAGGCCTGGCTGGGTTTCAGCCCATTGGCAAGAGGTGCTGTGCTGTTATTTTACCAGAAGGCATGTGTCTGAGTCCTCTTTTTGCAGCATCTGCAGCTGTAGACGCTCAATGCCTTAACCCATCCAATCATTGTGTGACCAAGTTGTAATATCCTATTTCAATCATTCATTTTTTTACTTACTGATTGGGGATGTCCTCACAAAGAGCTCGTTCCTCTCATCTACTATTTGCTCCCAAGGACTCAGTTTCTTAACCATTATAGTGTTTGGCTTTTTACCACACACCATACTATTTATTTCTTCCAACTAGAGATTATAAGGAGAGGGCAAAAAATTGATAGGACTTGGTAAATTATTCAAAAAGCAAAGTTGTTCATTTCTTCCTTGGTATTGGAGAAAAAAAATGCATGAATGGACACGTATAAACTCAAAGTTGATGAAACACTATGGAAAATCTGAGAAAGTCCCTGAGGCAAGCAGTCATACCTGGCTTCATACAGCCATGGCGATCAAGGGAGTGGACAGCAGGAAGAGAGGCACATGCCCAGGAGCTGCTCTTTTCAGCAGGTTCCCCCAGGTGTCTGGGCTGCAGACCACAAGGCTGAAGTGATGGCCTAGTCCCTCCACACCAGAGGCAAGGATACCCCTGTATTTTGCCTCCCAGTGGCCACAAAGGTGTTAAAGATTCTGGACTATGAGTAGATAATGGTGATACCTATCAGCACACAATGTTACCTGAGATGTGGTTTATAGGCTTTTTTTTTTTAATTGTAAACATTTCTGGGAATCTGAGATAAGTCATGCACCTTTTTGGAGAACTATGAAGACTTTTTCGTGTTGTTTCAGAGATGTCACATAACCCTGCAGTCTACTCATAGACAGGCCAGTAAAACAATTCTCAATCTTGGCTGAGCACTGGAGTCACCTGGGAATTTTAATACTAATACTAATGGTTGGGTCCCACCCAGGATATCTTCGGGGACCATTAGAAAGTTATGTACTGTTTCACGAGATGGCAGGAACCAGTGTCTTCAAGGGCTGGAATCTCAGCAACTCAGAGGAGACACTGACTCTGGCAGACAGAATATCCACTTTCTCCCAATTCATATTCTCCACTGGAAGAAAGCCAGAGGAAGAGAGTTCTGCACAGTCGTGTTTCAGAATCTAAGTAATAAGTCTCTCTACTAAAAATTTTTGTATAATTAATCATTTTAAGTGCATAAAGGGTTTTCTGAGAGGAGATGCTACGAGTCCATCTTTACAGAAAAACAAGCACCCGCCTATGATCCTGAAACTCTTTGAAAAATAAGGAAAAACATCTTTCCTCTCAGCAGGAAGTTAGGCATATATATTGCTTTTAATAACACAGAAGGGGTGGGGACCCGCGGCCAGCCCAGTGCCTGGCACCCAGAAGAGGGGATGCCAATGCTGAATACGTAGGGAGAGAACCAGGCAAGAGTATCTAGGGTGAACGCGGAAGCTGGCAAGATGGTGAGGCGCTAGGGGAACTGTGGGTGTGTGTTTGAAGAATATAAAGAGAAAACCCAAGCAGTATGGCGGGGGGCGGGGGGCGATGGCAGTGTGCTCTCCCACGCAGAAGGGCTGTCTGCAGGGAGGCCGGACCCAGGCCTTTCTTCTTTACCCTTAAAGGGCCCAGGTCCAGCCCAGTACCCGGATCAGCGTACACACGCTCTAAATGGTGGTTAAATGTACGAACCAGAGTTACACAGTGCTCTTTCTACAACTCCTTTTTTTTGACGGATAACTTATTTTAAATTTTGAAACATTTCAAATACAGGGAAAATAGGATAACATACTATTCACCGAAATTTGACCCAGGCTAACATTGCTCTTCTGACTTTTTTGACTGGAACAGTAAGGGTCATTCCACTTCAGACAACTCCCGAAACTTTAATGATAAACATGTGTCCTTGAGGCGGCACTGTCACTGTTCAAAATTATTCATCTGAAGTTCGAGGTGAAGTAAAGAAATAATTCTGGGAAAGTTCCAGAGCAGGTTTAGAGATAACTAATGTGAAACAATGGACCCGGAACATATAAATATGTAAACATATACATATACATACATACACACACATATGTGCATACCCATACACACATACACACACATACGCACATTAACATACACATATACACATTGTACAAACATGTGCGCACACATGCACATATACCTAAATCAGGTTAGAGTGAGTCACATGGCCCTGGGCCTTTGTGGTCAGACTGACTAATTCCTATCTGCACTGTTCTCTCAACAGGAAATGCAGGAGGGCTGGGCATTGTGGGTCCGCCAGTCATCACGCACTCATGAGCAGAAAAGATCCTGTCAGTCTGGGTTTTCAGTGGCTGTCTGCCTTGAATTCCTTCCCAGAACACGGCTTCCACCCCTTGAGACTCCCTAATAATGGCTACAGGGCAACCTCAGGCTGGCCCAGAAAGCTCCATATTGACCCAGAAAGGTCACCAAGTAAAACTAGGCCCCTAAAACTGCAGCAAATCCTAGACCCCAAATTCTTAAGCCTTTCAACCTCCCAGGTTCCAGGGGCCTTCAGCTGAGGGAAAATGTGTTGAAAAGGTACTGGTTTGCCAACTGTGAGAAGTGAGTATCAGAGTCAGACTCTTTCGAGGTTTTCTGACTCATTTTCAGTTTCCCTCAAGCCTCCGCACAGTCCTCCACTAGGCCTGCCCATTCTACCTTCCCTAATTATTCCCCTGTTTACACCACTTTTGGTTACATTGTCACCAAAACCCAGTAACATAATGGCTGCAAGATCATTTTAAATCAGTAAAGTTCCTGGAGAGGTGGGAATAAATTTTATTAAAAGAACAGGCAGCCAAAGTTTTATGTGGCTATTTAGATGAACTTCACATTGGCTTCTTGGATAAAGTTTCCATTTTGGAAGCTGAGCTTTGAAAAGGAAGAAAGATAGCATCTGCCTGCTGATGGAGCCAAGAAAATAATATATAGGAGCTAACGTTGAGCTGAGAGTAATGGTAATGATATTAAGCAATGCAGATTTATAGCCCATTCACAATGACACATTTGTTTCCGATTTCAGTTCATTAAGACCATTTTGTTCCTTTTCTGCTACCACATGCAAGCTTCAAAAAAAAGAAAAAGAAAATAGATACATATAGTTTTGGAGGGATTCCAGACGCCAGCATTTCAACGTCAATGCAAAAGAAAGAAGCTGAATGCATATCCTGACGTGGGGATTGCATTTGTCAGCTGCTGTACTTACTACAGTTATTCAGCCTGTTGCTGGGGTCACAAAGAGAGCTACCACCACATGAATCAAGGCAGGAATTGTAGAGGCATGTTTGGTCGCCTTCTTGACATGGAGTCTGACCTACAGAGGGGGAAAGGCACATTCGCTTTCATCATCTGTAAATTCCTTACACTAGGATCTAAAGGATCGGGAATGTCTGATGGAACTGAGAAGAGACACAACTTTAATTTCTTTCCAATTTCTCCAAAAATATTGAACACATGTTGAAAAGGTGCTCTCTGGATTAATCTTCCTGGCAACTAAATACAACACAGTTATTTCAAAAGGATTCTACAGGGATGAAGAAATGAGAGGCAGCCTATCCCCTCCCCTCAAAAAAAAAAAAAAAAAAAAGGTTGTTGCTTTTAATGAAAAATAAAAGATAGTGTTTTATATTTACATGTGTGCTTATACTTGATTACACACTAAAACTTAAGTGATTTGAGGGAGCAGCCAGATGCCAATATACAGATACTGAAGTTTTGAATATTAAATGATATTATTTTAAAGACCCATTTACTCTCAACTCTAGTCTTCTCTCTAAAAGAAAATGTTTTTCCTAATAATAAGTAGGGCATCCATACCAGCGCAATAAGGAGGCTTCATCATGGTAGAAGTCTGACACAGCTGGTATGCCTATTTTCTGTACGTCCTTGGAAAGTATCATTGGCCTAGCCATGACGAGCTGAGAACTGGGTTTCTTGTTTCCAATGAATGACAAGAGTAAAGCCGTCCTAATGGCTTTTCCTTAAGGTATGTAGAGAGGAAACGGGTTTTCCCATTGATTTCCTGGTTGTTTGTAGATTAAATGGATAAGGTAATAAATTACTGCCCATTTTCTTTCCATTATACTCAGTTACTTTCAGACATGTCATCTGGAACCTGGAAAATCACACAAGACGCTTTTAAGTATAATGGTAGTACCTGGGCACACACAACCATTCTTATCTATAATTCTAGGACAATGTTTATTATGTGGACCTCCTTCTTCCTTCCAGCACCATTAATGCGCAATGTATCAGAGCCTTGCAGGAAAGAGTTGACACTTTTTCTTTTTTTTTTAATGTTAAGAGAGTCAAACTTTTTTTTTTTTTTTTGCAAGGTAAGCCAGGCTAATTTTCACAAGTTCAATCTCTTAAAGAAAACATGCATTCATTATTTCAGTACACAAGTGCCTGCTGTATGACAAATGTATATGACAAGTAAGGCACTGAGCATTAAAAGATAAGAATGGGCGGGGCTTACACTCTCATCAGGGATATCATGGGAACAGAACCTTGCAAATGTGATCACTGTATTACTACAGCTACATTTGAAAGCAAACGGGGCGGGGGGGCGGGTGTGGGCATTAGGGGAAAGCTTCTCAAAGGAGTTTTTCAGGCAGATAGGGTAAGTGAGGATAAGAGGAAAGAATGGGTTTCCCAGGCAGACAAGCAGAATATACACAGGCCTAGGGCAGGCAAGCGCAGAGGCTGAATCCCTGGGGCCGCAGGGAGACTAGACAGGAAGGCAGAGAGCCCAGCCTAAGGGTGGTGAAGGCCTACATTTTCAGTCGGGCCCAAAGCTCTGAGAGGAACGGTCCTTGCTTCCCTCCTCAGCTTTGTCTAGCAGAGCCAGCCAGCAATCACTGCGGACAGCTACCCTGCAGTAGCAAGCTCCTCCTCATTCTCGGCTCTCTAATCCTGTGGCCTCATCCCCGGCCCTAAACAGGCCTTGCTCCTCCCCTCCTTGGGACTTTCAGCCAAGTGTTTCCCTGCATCTGAAATGCTTTCTTCAGTCCCACACCCTTTCGTGAAGTCCACTCACTCTTCAGATCTTACTTCAAATACCTCTTCCTCAGCGAAGCTTCCCTGAGGCCCTTTGCCAGAGAGTCGTCCCATATACAGTCTCCTAGCCCCTGGCTTTCCCACACACACTTCATGGTCACTTCACGCTCAGGCGCAGACTGACGCTCGCAGCTATTGGCATTGCTTCTATCTCCCCCAGGGGCTGAAAGCCGTTTTGCTCGCCGCTAAATTCCCACTGGTTGACCACATATTAGCACCACAGTACACATTTGCTAAGTTGAATTCATTACAGTAAATAATATAAAAATGCTAAAATTTTACTTTTTGATACATTTTATCATGAGACTTCCTTACATCTCACATCTGTAAGGAAATAATTTACAAATCCTGCCACTGCATAATGAAGAGACTAAATTTATTTCAAACAGAGTTGAATCATGTAGGGAGGAAGAACAATTTTGATTCAGAGAGAGGTTCTCAGTTGATATACATACAATACTCATGCCTAGAGAACGATTTCCTTCTGAATTTTAAAGCTGATAAAACTTAACATTCCTTCTGTATTTTTTAATGTGATAAATCTGTGATTAAAAGGCTCTCCCTTTAAGTCTGGAATGTTTTTCCCATGAAAACTATTCTAATGATCAATACTCATTATGACAAACCTAATTTAGCTACAGGTGACCGATGTCATTAGCTGGTGACAGATATACACAGCCCAAGACGTGCTTCAACATAAAGGCCATGTAATAATAGCAAACACTAACTGAGTCCTTACCATGTGCCAACACGCTGAAGCAGTCATCGGTGTTCTGAGTTTACAGGCACAGAAACGGAGACACAAGGGGGTAAGTCACCGGCCAGCTGAAGGCCAACCAGATAACAGGGCACACAGCTGGGGCTGGACCCATATTCATAACGACCAGGCTACGAAGGGCAGGGGCAAGGTCCCTAACACACACATGCAGTGATTTCTAATTCTAGAAAGCGTCTTACCAGCCCTGTACTGAGAAACGCTTCTCCACAAACTGGGGCTGAAAACAATCAGCGTGAAACTTTCTTTTCTGACAAAAATGGTCATTTTCAAAAACCAATTCATTTGATTTACTTCATCTCTTTCCGTTTCACAGATGGAAATCACACTCCTTTTAAAGTGTATTTAAGTCTTCATACTTGGTAATGTAAGGCATTCACCCACTTCTCTGAACACGGTGGCTTTCTGAAGCAGTGACATCTCATTGCAGAAGCTAATTCCTTCTAGTTGGAATCTAATCTAATTTAATCGAATACCATATACTAAACTTTTCTCTTTCTCACGGCGTTGCTTTTCCCCATCGGTCCACTCAATCTCCCCATGCCGCTGACGCATTTCACCCCCGCTCTTCACCCTTCGGAGTGATTGTGCAGTACAAGTTGCTAAGAAAGGTCCACCAGAGCAGCGTTTCCCGCTGACCGGGGCTCTGAGGACCCCTGCGTTAGGCAATCCGGGATCCTTCGCGTGGGACTCCTCTTGAAGCCCCAGGCAGCTCTGCGCGCCATTCCCAGGGAAAGGCCCCCGACCGGGGCGTGCTGCGGGCCGGGGCACACACTCACTGTAACTGCAGTTCTCCTCGTCGCTGCCGTCCTTGCAGTCCTCGTCTCCGTCGCAGCGGAAAGTGCTGGGGATGCACTGGCCGCTTCTGCACTCCACCAGCCCCTGGCTGTGACAGGCTAGGAAAGGCCAGGAGAGTAGGCACGTTAGGTGTGAGTACTTCTCTCCGGCTGCAGAGCCCATAAACGGCTCCTGGTTTCCTGACCTCACCAAGAAATGAAGGGCTCTGAATAGCTGAACATTCTGTATAAAGGAATCAATACATCACTAATTTTTTAAAATCCGAGTATCTTTGAAATGGAAAGCTTTCTTTCTAAAATCTCCCATTTCTTATCATAGCACTTACTACAGATTAACTTTTTTTTTTTTTTAAATAATCTCAGGGTGGGAAGTAGAATTAAAGATGGTGGTAGCGATACTACTGTTACCGTTATTAAACCTTTTAATAAAAGGTTTATTAAAGGCTTACTATATGGCAATAACTTTGCTAGGAGGGTTATGTATCTAATCTCAAAACCTCATAACAAGCCTGTGAGGTAGATATTATTGACCTGGTTTAAAATAAAGAAACTGAAGCTTAGAGAGTTTAGTGGCTGTACCACAAGTCACACGGCTGTTAAAGGTAGGGCCAGAATGTGCAGGTGAGCCTCTCAGACTCCTGGCCCCAGCGTTTCATCCCATAAATCTAACAAATGAGCCAATGAGGTAATACACATAAAAGAATGTGCATGATTCCTAACATACTATGAATGCTTTATTTTGACACTTGCTTAGGACATCTGACATTTGAAAATGGATGGTCTAGTGGCCATTAATCTTCCCGTTCTTAAATGTTGTCTAAATTCCATCACTACTGTCGTTTAGAGCATCAGAAACGATGTTTTATATGACCTTAGCCTTCACTGAGTTACTGCTGGACATTAAAACTCCCTATTGCTGAATCAAGGCTCAACACCTGAATTGTTCTACTTGAGCATCAAGTCCTTGCTTTCCCCAGATCAGTCAAGATACAATCTACTCTGGTCCACTGTGTGCCACTAAGCAAGGCCTTGGGTGCTATTTCAGTTCAAGTTCCATTCAGGAAAGGGGAGAGTTGAGCATTGCATTTATTAATTTATATGACTTTTATTATGTCAAAATAAAAACCATGCACCCTGCATTTCTATTTTTGCCTCACATTATAGGCAATTTAAATATTCAATCTCCTATATATCAAGTTTTTCTACTTTTATTGAACAGCAAAATAGAATCAGAAATTTAATTCATTCAACTGTGCATAAAATGCATCATATTAACTCTTTCAGGTCAAATTACTTAAACACCTAACTGCTTCTATTCAATCATTTCATTATTCTCTACTGAGTGTAGTGTAGTTTCTAAAGGAAAAAAAGAATTAATAGCCATACTCGATTTTATTTGCTAGATAGTATAACAGCTCCCTACAGGCACACAACAGGCAGTGAGTTGTAATTATTATCCCAGTCTCTGTTTAAGTCTATGAACATTGAAGGCCCTTTTTTTCACAATTTTCTCCACGTTCTCCCAAGAACATGTTTGGAGGCTCCTGCTAGGAAGCTCAATCCCTCACATGTTGCCTGTAAGAGTCCCCCAGCCTCTGGGGAGAGCGTCCCCTTTGACAAAGTCATGAATGCAGAAAGGAAACACAGGTAGCAGTGAGAGAAAACAGGCGCCTGCCTGGCCAGATCGAGCCGGTAAAGCTGTGGAAGTCAAGTGCCCTACACTTGTTATTGTTCTCACACCACTCAGTTCTCTCTCTAGGCAAGGACCGAAGTATAAGAATCTTTCCCTCTGAAAACTCTTTAGATAGTGAACCTTGAGTATATTGGTCTACACAGGAAACAAAAGGAAAAGCAAGAAAATGAAACTCCTTGGGCACTCACAGCAATTGACCTCGTCCGACTTATCCAAGCAGTCATGGTCACCGTCACACACCCACTCTATCGCGATGCAGCGCCCATCTCCACAGCGATGCTCCTTGGTGGGACTGCAATCTGGAGAGAAGGGAAAGTCCGCGAGGATGTAGAGAACCCCCGTGACAAACACTTAGAACTGTCTGGCTCCTGGTTCCAACTGAAGAGCGTCTATTCCAATTGTCCTTACAGCTGCAATTACTTTCCTAAGATGGGTCTGGCACAATCTACCTCCCACCCAAGCCTGTGGCCCACTAGGCACCGTCACTGTGACCTGTTTATCAGGTGAAAAACTGTCCCGCCTTCTCGGGACCCACAGTTTGAATTTCTGTTGTTTTTTTTTGTTTGTTTCATCAGTGTTTCCTTTCCTTTTGAGAAATTTGTGATATTTACACTGGCTCAAATAAACAAAACTGTGATTTGGATAACACAAGGGAGAGACCTGATCTGACGTATCTGTGACAGCTTTACTGTGGTTTCTGACACCCACCACTCTGAAGTGTTCCTCAGGTCATAGCCCCAAGCCTTTCCCAACATTCCTCCCTATGTTCTCTCAGGTGAAATTCACGTCATCACCCCACCTGGCCCTGTTGTTCATATTGCAAAGTTCCCATGTCCTTCAATAATAGCTTACCTAAACATGCTAAAGCTAATCACAAAGTCAAAAATGTAAATAAACAAGACAAATTTTGCTGATTTTAATTCACAAGATGACATTTAAAATTGAACATGACCCTTTAAAAGGTAAGTTCATTCTTTAAAAGACAAGATCAGCTTTTGTACATAAAATTAACATGTTATCTTAACCCTAAGTGTCACTACCACTGAAGTCACCTCTGTATCGCTTGGTGATCAAACAAAGAGGGGCCTTTGGTTATGCATAATAAGGGCGATCAAGGGACAAACAATATATCAATCTGCAAAGTTATACCCAAGAGCTCAAAATCTAAACATGAGCCACAGAAGAACCAGAGAAGGATCAGGACACTTCCAAGGAGATACTAATATTAACATATTAACGTCCTGTAGCTGTCTTTCCACTCCGCTTCCTTGGTATTTCCTTAGTATGACTGTGTATGCCAGAAGTATCACATTTACACATAAGACATAATTGAGACTAGGAATTGAAAAAAAATCCCCTTTCTAAAATTAAGAAACCAACCATTTTATCATTTAACCTGCTGATAATCATATTAACAAGCTACAAGTTCTTGGTTATAAATTTCGATAATTTTTAATGAGAACATTGCTACTTACCACAGTTTTGTTCATCACTCAGGTCCCCACAGTCATCATATCCATCACACACAAGGCTATAATTAAGACACTTGCCCGTGTGGCAGTGAAACAGATTCTCGCTGCAATCTGCAAATAAGAGAAGCCACTCATGTGTCATCAGAACAGAACATGACATTACAGTAGTACTTTATGTAACAAAAGTATAGCAATATGGGGGACACCACAATGGTAACCTGGTCCACATCTATTGTTTTACAGGTAGAGATTGTGGTGCAGAGAGATCCAACGACTTGCTCAAGGTCACAGAAAAAGTGACTGCAGAACCAAGACTAGGACCCTCTGACTCCCAAGCCAGTGTTTTTATTGCTTTTCTGAGTCTTTACATGACTTTCACTTTATGTCACCAGAAACCTTTTTATAGTCAAATACGAGAAAGGACATTCTCAATTATCATAGTTCCTAATGAATTCATGTTCATTCAGAATCAGTGACTTTAATAGAGGGTGAGTATAATTTCTTAAAAATGATTCCTTTATAAAGAAAGTCTAGTTTTGTCAGTGGTGAACATAAACATAATGGAGAGAAAAAACTTATTTAGGTTATGAAGTCATTACTTTCACACACACATTACAACTTAGGTCAGTTGAATGTTTCATAACATGACCCTTAAAAAAGCAAGTACTGTTCTGTCTTATGGTGGCAGGATAAGAACAAGTGATATGTAACCCAAGGAAGCATATAGTTTAATGTTAGAATAAACAACATGCAAAGAAATTTTGTTAAAAAGATACATCTTGCACTTGGGCAAATCAGAACTTCTATTGTGGTTCTGCCATGTACTAGCTGTGAGAATTTGAATGCATTAGTTAAAAATCTATGAGTCTATGAACCAATCGATGAAATTGGAATGAGATCAGTTACTTAATAAAGCTTGAAGATAGAGATTAATAAAAATAATGTATGTAAGATATAAAGACAATTCAATGGGAAAACAATACTCTTCAACAAATGGTAACAACATGACTTTACATGTACAAAATCTTCAATAATTAGATTTCTGATGTACAGAATGGAACTCTGACCTTTACCTCAAACCCTATACTAAAATTACCTCAAAATGGACCATAGACTTAAGTATAAAAGGAAAAATTATGAAGTTTCCAGAAGAAAACATAGGGGAAAAAATCTTTGTGACCTTGTGTTAGGCAAAGAATTCTTAGGTATGCCAACAAAAGTACAGGCCATAAAGTAAAAATTAATAAATGGGCCTCACAAAGTTAAAAATACTGTGCTTTTAAATATATTATTAAGAAAATTAAAAGAGAGGTAAGTCATATTCTGAAAGAATATTTGTAAATCATGTATCTGATAAAGGACTTATATTCAGAGTATATATGGAACTCTTACACTCAGTAATAAGAAAACCCAATTACAAATTAGCAAAAGACTTGAGCAGAAAGTCTTTCAGCAGACATACAATGGCAAATTGGCACTTGAAAAGGTATTCAGTATAATTAGTCATTTAGGAAATGCAAATAAAAACCACAATAAAATGCTATTACATAAGTCCAAAATAGCTATAATGAAAAAGATAATGCCAAGTATTGTCAAGGATTTTGAGAAACTGAAACTCTCATACACTCTTGGTAGGAATGTAAATTTGTAATGCTACCTTATAAAACAGTGTGGCAGCTTCTTATAAAGTGAACTATAACCTTACCATATGATTCATGAGTTCTACTCTTAGAAATCTACCCAAGAGCAATGAAACATATATCCACACAGATAGTAGTATGTGCGTGATCATAACAACAACTATTCATAATAGACAAAAAAGTAGAAACAATCCAAACACTCACCTAGTGAATGGATAAGCAAAATGTAGTACACTCATATGATAGAACACTATTCAGCAATTAAAAGTATCCAACTATTGATACATGTGACAGCATAGATGAACCTCAAAAACATTGCTAAGTGAAAGAAACCAGACACAAAGACTACATATTGTGTGACCCATTTATAAAATTCCCAGAAAAAGCAAACTTACAGAGACAGAAATCAGAGCAATGGTTATCTGTAGCTGGAGAAGTAGTAGTGTTTACCTGGGGACTTGACTGCAAATAGGTGGGAGAGAAATTGGGGGCGGGATGAAGAAGTTCTAGAAGTGGATTGTGGTGATAGTTGTATAGCTCTATAAATTTACTAAAAATCAATGGGATAAGTTTATAATTATTCCTCAACAAAGCTGTAAAAATATTTAAAATTAATATATACCAAAAAGCCTGCATTGAGTAGGAACTAGATTTCTTAAATGTATTATCTTTTCCCTTATTTGAAGTGAGTTAAAAGCAAAAGTAGATTCTTAAGTCTGGAGAGAGATCCTGGAAGGTGTACAGAATACCAGTAGTGCGGATGGAATTAAAACTTCACCATGTCAGGTAGAGGGAATAACAAGAACAGGGAGGAGGTGAGAAAGGAGGGCACATTTGAGGTTCAGTCTACTTGTCTGATGAAGACCAAGAATCTAGCGGTTAATAATACAGTCTCCTGCATTCCAGCTGATTGTTTCCCCTGAAGCAGAAGCCTGTATCTCATATATCAAGCTCTATTCTTCTAAAACTAAGTTATTTAAATTCTTTTAGAATCACATCATTGTGGATTAATATAAATTATTCTTGTAGGACGTCTTAAAGATTATCTGTTCAGCACCTTCATGAAGTGCGTATATAGGTGCACACACACGTGTGGAAAACATATGCTCAGACTTATACACATGCTGAAATTTTTAAGTATTCTTTTTAACTTCCCCCAGGTTAAATAATTTTCAAATGAGATTGACCATCATAGGGAAAAAAATATAAGAACTAAAAAGAGGTCCTAGTTTCACTTTGACAGACCTGTACTATTTCCTCCCACTCAGCAGAGAGCGCTAACTCCCCACCCTGCACCTTACTGCTGACTGGGACCACTGCACACATGGTAGCTGAGTTGAAAAAGATTATGACATTTGTGTTCTTGCCCACCAGAGTTGGGAAATTTGTACATCAATATATACACATTTCCTTGAGAAGTTGTAAAATGTCTTTTTGATTTTTGTTTTGGATTAATCTAAATTATTCCTGTAGGACATTTTAAAGCAGTATGCTAGAATCAGCCATAACCAGGGTTCTCAGTTTGACCTTTAATGTAAAAGTACTAGCACTTGCCAAAAGTGGTGGAGGGGTGGAGGGGTGGCGTATTTCAAACCTGAGTTTAGTTTTTCTTTCTCTCTCTCTCTCTTTCTTTCTTTCTTTCTTTCTTTCTTTCTTTCTTTCTTTCTTTCTTTCTTTCTTTCTTTCTTTCTTTCTTTCTTTTAAAGCGGTATGCTTCACTTCTTTTGATTGTAGGACTGGGGCATCAAATGCTTCTTTCAGAATCTAACACACAAAAAATTTCCAAAGATTCACATGTTGTCTGTGGGGCCTATTCTAGGATCCCTAGTAATTCATACTAAGACCTCACTTGAGATATTTTTAAATTAATGCTGTTGTTTATTAAATTATTTCATAAATGAAAATGGCACAAGCATTAAAGAAAAATGTCCTCATTATTCACACAGGTACAGATTCAACTTTCCTCTGTTATGGCTTACTTGGTTAGAAGCCTTTCTCAGAAGTCAGCTACAAAATTAGCTACATTTGGAAAACAACTTGTTACTACCTCTCCAAGGTCTCTGTGACTACCAGAGGCACTGCACAGCCAGAAATACACAGCAAATAGCAAAGATCACAGTGCCTCCTTTTATTGGAATAAATGTTTATTTGGACTGAAAAGAAATGTTGTCAGCGCAATTTGGGGCCAACAAATCAAACTTCAAAAGCTACTTGCTGTGATTTTCTTGCTCAATACAAGTATAATTTCACATGACCTGAGATAGATGTTTTTCCAGATACAGATTATTTTTCTTAATGAGAGCTTGATATAAAACGTTTCTCCTGAAGTTCGTGCATAACATTTATTTCAGTTGGGCACCTCACATTGTTAACTTTTGTCTCTTAAAATTATCATTAAATTAAGGGAGAAAACTAAAGAACAGAAAACCTTTTATCAAGGGTTCCACTCAATTTGCTGTCTCTACAAGTCTGTAAACATAGATGTGTTGCCTCATTTCAAGATTCAAGTATGGATGCTAAATTGCCACGCCCTTTTATTCTCAGATGACCAGAGAGGCTAAAGGTTTGCCCATACTTGCACAGCTCATTAATAGCAGAGCCATGAGGTGAAGCCAGCCATCTTGCCTGCCCAGGTTCTTTTGACTGTTTGACTTCTGTCTCTAGAGGAGGGTTTCTCAAATGCAGCAGGAATGCAAAATTGTTGGCAATTTTGACTGTATGATCCTTTGTTGTGGGAGGGGCTACCCTATGCTTTGTAGGATGCTTGGCAGCATCCTTGACCTCAACTCACTAAATGCCAATAGCACCACTCCCGACACCCCAAGCTGTGACAGACAAATCTGTCTCCATTTATTGTAAAATGTCCCCGAGGAGGCAAAATTGTCCCCGATTGAGAACCACTATTCTACAGTATGCAAACATCACCTCTGCCCAAAGCCTACTTTCATCACAGTAACCCTGCTCTCTTCCCAAGCCACAGGACTTACCATTTCGTTTACACCACTCTCTTTTTGCTCTGTGACATCTCTCCTACTATCTTGTTCTAAAATACTACATTCAATGATCTGTACGTTTCTATGTTATTGCCCTGATTAGACTAAAAGCCTCATGAAGAAAGAAACCATGTCTTAACAGTCTTTATATTTACTAGATATCTAGAACATGCTTCGCACATAGCATGAGCTCAAGAATATTCAATAATTTGATTGATTCAGCATAACCAAATTGTCACTACACAGAAGTGAATTTTCCAGACATCTGAAGCTTCCTCCTTCAGTGTAGAATGAAATATCTTTATTATGTTAATAGAGATATTTTTATTATTTTGATGGAAACATTTCTCATACTTACTTGCACCCTTGTCTTTTTAAAAAGAATACAGTAAATGCAGTCACTTGTGATGACCCAGAAACATCATTTGGAAAACGGTCTTAATCAGAATCCCTGAATGTGGGCTTCCTGGAAATGCTGTGGTTCGGCCAGTCCCAACAACAAGGAAAACCAGAGACAGAGAAGTTGCCTGCCTGAAGTCACTGAGCTAGAAACTTTTCGAAGAAAACTTTTCTTAATTTTCAAAAGTCCTTTGGCTACATCATTAAATTGTTCCAGGTGGTTGGAAATCTGTTTGTTCTATAAATGCTTAGAATGAGACCAATAAACACAGCAAAATTAGTTAGGGGAGAAAGTCAGGAAGCAGTCCAAGATACCTGGAGTGCCGCTATAATAGCCAATTATCTCCCAAGCATAACAGAGCATTGGAAATAAAATGTTTTATGTCATATGAATGATCAAAATACAATCATTTACCAAATCTGGACAAAGGCAAGTCAAAGGCAACAGCACAGTTTAGAGAAAACGGCACTAGATTTGACCCATTCAATACTGAGTTCAAGTCCAGCACTTGAGGGCACTGGCAGAGTTTTCCATTGCCTTCGGCCTCAGCTTTGCATCTGTAAGAAGGGGATGAGAATCCTTCTTCGCTGAAAATTAAATCAAATCCTGTAGGCAAAAGCTTCTAGCACAACCGATTAGGGAACTCCCAAAGAAAACACGCCTTCCCTTCCTCCTCCTCTCTCTGCCCGACGCTGCGGGGCAGGCACAGCCTTCTGCTCCTCACTGGGAATGCCCGGCAAAACTTCCTCTCCCCTCAGGGGCACCTTACCTGTGGGCTGCACTCAGGCTCTGATTTGCATCCACGCCCTCATTCGGATTTAGGCTATTCCTTCCCTGCAGGGTGGGGACCCCCAGAGGGTGGCATCTTCTCTAAACAGGCAAGCTGACACGCCCCAAGTAGAGGCAGATGGCCTTGTGAGCTCAGAAGCAATGGCATGGAAAGATTTCAATGACTACCTAAGCATTTTCACAGACAAGTATTCTGAGGAATGTATTTCCTCAATGGACCAAACCAGATCGTTTTTGAAGGATGTTCATGAGGAAGGCCCATATCTTCTTGAATAAACACTTCAGCTCTTAAGACATTGCTAGACACCTTCTAGAATAGTAACATTATCTTTGTTGAGCACTGACTAGGAAAATTTACTCCTTCAAGTTTAATTTCACCAAATGCAGCAGAAAGCTCTTACTGTTTAAAGTGCAATGCTCAGTGCAACAGAGGAACATAATGAGAAAGTCAGTGCTGGCCCACCACTGAGGGTCGAGGCACATGCAGAATTTGAATAACACCAGAACTTGGGCCATACCTGAGAGAGAAACGAGATTTCACCACAGTTCCCAGAAACTGGACCTAATTCTATCAAACTATTTTAAATTCCCCAATGTGGGCACTTTGCACAATATTTTCTGGTAAATCCACAGCAATATTCCCGAATGTAAACATACGTCCTATAAAAATGTTTTTTATGTAAAATTGTCTGCCATAGGTTTTCCTGAAGAGGGAATTCCAAATTATAAAAACAAATGTCTTAGTGAAAATATTTCCGAAAATACGGGTGCCATAACTGAAGTTCCACAGGATGCTAGACATTCTGCAAAACATATCAGCGCATGAGGGAATAAATAAAGGTGATGGTTTATATAAACAAATAATATTTATGGAAATAACAAGTTAAGCGAAATCAGTATCTTTTTTTAACTGCAGGATCCCTTAGAACCTTTAGACACAAATACGTATTGTAACTCTCTAAGAAGTAGACCTGATAGACAGCAATCCTCAAACTTCTTTTTTCTTTTCCTTAAGCATTTTTCAAGACTCACGCACTATGGAACCCCAGTGTGGGAAACACTGACCTGAAATATTACCATGATAGATGGACTTTCAAAAGTTATGACAAATAAGCATCCTAACCCTTCAGATGGAAGAAAAGTTGGTCCACTTGGCAAACAGATCAGGGGAATCTCAAATGTGGCCAACAGCCATGAGCTCTTATAAAGCCTTGGCAACTTCTACAAGGAGTAAAACACAGCTTTTCCCTGAGTAACCACTGCTGCTCATATAACCATCAAAAAGCAACTAGAACACAACTGCACATGGTTCTGTTTTGGAAGGAGACCCTACATTGTATTTTTGAGGCTAATTTTTCCTTTTTATCTATTACATAAGTGTAAAATGACTTGAAATCAGAGGGGTGTGTGTGTGTGTGTGTGTGTGTGTGTTACGGACTGAATGTTTGTTTCCTCCCAATGTTTGTATGTGGAAGCCCTGACCCCCAACATGACTATATTTGGAGACAGCGCTGTGAGGAGGTCATGTGGGCCAAATGAAGTCATAAGGGTCAGGCACTAATCCAACAAGGCTGGTGCCCTTCCAAGTAGAGGATGAGATACCAGAGAAGTGTTCCCAACCTCTCAATCGCTCTTTCTCTCTCCACGTCTGTATCTTCCTCTCCTCTCTTTTACTAGCTTCCTATCTCTCTTCCCCTCTCTCTTGCCTTCCCTCCCTTTAAAGAGGTCGCGTGAGTACACAGGGAGATGGCAGCTGCCTACAGGCCAGGAAGAGCATTCTCACCAGACACTAAACCCTGCTGGACCTTGATCCTGGGCTTTCCAGCCTCCAAAACTGTGAGAAACAAACTTCTGCTGTTTAGTCATGGAGTCTGTGGTGTTTTGCATGGCAGCCCAAGCAGACTAATACAATATTGGACAAACTACTGATCAATTCAGTGAAAACAACTCATCAAATCAAAGGGAAGTAAATTGAGGGTGCTTAAGGCTGAATCCAATGATCCGTGGATTTAAAACAGTTAATGCCATTGACTATTTTCAGGTTTAGAGCAAGCATAAACAAACAAGAGGCTTTGCATCTGCTGTGTCATGAATGTTAAGAATCATGAGGGTGAAAATTTTTTCCTATTAAAAATGCCCTTTTTACATAGTTGACCTTTATACTCATAAAGCTTTAAAAACAAAAACAAAAATCCTCACCCAAACAAAATAAACAAAAAGTCTTCTCCTAATTTTAAGCCACTTTACATAAAAACACTTCAAGACCTGATCTGTTCCAACACAGCATCTAGCTGTTGGGTTTGTAACGAAATCATGCCTTTGAAAGGTGAGCAAACACTTCTGTCACGGGGGTGGGAAGACAAACACATCTGCCCACTTTAGAAAGGCCAACTGCAAGTAGCCTCCACACATGCCGGTGGTTGTCAGGATGTGACAGAGGAATGGCTCTGGTTTCTAGGCCCCTGAATAGAACCCCTGCCCACCCAGACGACCCCCAAACAGTCTGTCACCTACTGCAATGAGCTTCATCACTCCAGTCGTCGCAGTCGTTGTAGCCGTTACACTGCAGTTTCCTGGGGACGCAGATGCCACTGCCACACAGAAAGCTGTCACCCCCGCCACAGAGCACTAAAAAAAAAAAAAAAAAAGGGCAGAGAAATGATGTCAGAAGAAGGGCTTGTTTCGTTTTTCCTTTTAAAATTAGGAGAAACAAAGGATAGGAAGAAAAGCTTCCCTTGCTATTCAACAGCCTTGTTTCTAAATTCCCTCAGTTTTGCTGTCACCACATTTTCCTTGGCCCTGTAGGACCTTCATGAGGAAATTACTTTGGGAAAATACACAGAGTATTTGCCTGAGGAAAGCAAAAGAAAAGCCACCTGTGGGCTTGCAGAGCCCCGGCCCCCAAGTTCGGCGTACAGGAGAGTGGCCTCGTCCATTGTCATCTTCCGTGTGGAAAATACCACATGGGAGCATTTTCCTTAATAACTGAGAAATATTTCAAAGTGAAGTGCTATTTACTGAAAAAATATTTTTTAAAATCCTTTAAAAATAAACCACATACAAGTGTTCATAAAAAAAAAAACAAACACCTTACCTTCTAAAACACTACTCAATGTTGTACAGAGAATGTTACAGTTGAATGAAGTGTGCTCGACATGGGCATAGACTTCATGCCACTGTATTTAAAACATATGCCCTTGCCTTAATAAAAATGCCAGTTAAAAATGTCAAAGTCAATTTTTGGCATAAAGAATGTAAAATAGCATTAGCAAATAATATTTTCATGCTTTTCCTTAACACGGTTGCATTTTGGTACTATCTGCTCTTACGGTGTTCATTTGCTTCTCAAAATTCAACAAATAATCAATTGTTTCAAAATTACTATAGAAAATAAATATAAGATAAAAATCTAGAAACTTTTAAAATAAAAGAATAAATCTGTCCCTCGAAATGATTGTTCAAATAACACTTCAATATTTGGTAATGTGTATCAAATGCCTTTTAAATGTGCATAACTTTAGATTTAGCAAACTTCTTTCTTGGACTTTATATATAAAAAGGAAATTATTATGAATAAATGCAAGTTTTTGTTTTTAATGATATTCATACTATCGTGGTTTATAATGAGGACACTGTGAAACACAACTATGCAACAGTAGGAGACTGGTTAGACAGATTTTGGTAACTCCCTAAGAAGGAATAGCATTACAGCTATTGAAAAGTATATTGTAGAGAATACTTAATGTACTGGAACAAAGTGCAAGATAATTAAAGTAGAAAAACACCATATGGTTCTAAAAAGTTGGCCTAGAAAAAAGTATATCAAAGGTTACTGTGATTATCCTTGGTATTAGGATTAAAAGTAATTTTTATTCTTCTTTGTTATATTTTACAAATTCATTATATTTTTAAAATGTTCTTCTAATGACCATGTCTTACATTGTGAATCAGAAATTTTTTTTAAAAACTTTTTTCACGAGTTCCCAATACAGAGTAACAGTAGATAAATACAGCCCTGGAAAACTGCTGTCTCTCTTTGTCCCTTCCCTCCCCTTGATGAGATGAACTTTGCTGCCTAAATAAAGGGAACCAGGAAATATACAACATTTTAATGCAGAAACTGAAATTCAAAGAAGCAAGACTGAACGCCGCCAGCTGCGAGGCCCAAGGCTGTGGCATCTCCCATGTTCCTGGGCCCCTGCAGAGAGCCTGGCCCCTAAGAGGTTTTTAATTAACATTTGAGGGAAACAAGTCACCTCAGTCTCCATGGAGCACAACACATTGCTACAAGGCAAAGAAAAAATACCACTCATGGGTTATTTTCCAAGGCTATCACAAGGCTGAGTTCCGACTTGCTGGACATTAAGTCCTAGTTGATTTGGTGAGTTTCTTAGGACGTTATCATGTGCAACCTTCATAATATCAACAATGAAAGTCTGGTTTTCCATTATGCTCTATGATTTCTGTATCAGTACAAGTTACAGCTATGGGCTTCATCTGCCAAAATACGAAACATGCTTAGATTGTGCACAGTCTTAGAGGATGCCGCACAGGCCTGCACTCCCACAGCTACGGATAAAGACTTGCAAAAGGGTACAGAGGAAACAACATATAAAATGAGAAACACAAAGATTGTACTAGCCAGTATAGGCAATGTCCTCTCTCTAGCGTTAAGAGAAAAATTTCAAAGAATAAGTGTGCATCCGAGAGTGAGGCTGTTTGTGCATCGTGCAGCAGAGTGCAGAGATTCCACCTGTTCCTGTTCCCTACCTTATGCTTCTGATGATTCTTCGGACACATAGCTGAAAGCCCAACATCACGTATCTCCTAACAGCTAGCCTTCATCTTTAAGACCCTATATATTTTACTATATATATAGGAAAGCCATTTCTTGTGTATGGTTATATCAAATCTGGATCAAATTTAAAATGCAGGACTGTTTGTGGTATTTTGATTACCGCTATCCTCTGTCTTGGCTGATTCAGCAGAAACTGACTTCTTTCGTGTCGTTCCTCAGAGGGAGGGGTGGCTGTCCTTGGTTGCAGGACACTGTTAATTGTTTCTTTATTCTTTCCTTAAAAGTTCATGGCTTCATTAATCAATATTATTTTTGTAAAATTAGAATAACTTTTGTATATTCTCTGTCTGATTTCTCCTTAACCTATAATCAGAATTTCCACTTTTATTTGTGTAAAACTGTTCTGACACGTTTTATTTGGAATTCCCAAACAGGCCCATAAAGTAGACAGGTTGACATTCTATCACATCTTCCTTGGGGGAAGTGGTAACTTAGAAATAGAGGCTCTGCAGTGTCGTGTGGTTAAGACAGCAACTGCCCAAAGCCACAGAGCCAGGGAAAGGTGAAACCAGCCCCAGCCCTGAGGTCCTGCTCCAGCTCCATCCTCCGCCATCCCCAACCCTTGCTTCCAATGCAGAGGTGGCCGTGTAGTCACCTCATATGTGGTCAGTCCAAGGGCTCCAGGGTCAAGTGAAAGTTCAAACTTGCCTTTATTTTTCTCTCTAAACAAAAATTAAATGTCTGTCCTTTGGATGAACTGGACCAGATGAAATGAAATTCATGTCAGCTCTGGGATTTTTAGAGAATAACCTGAGGGAGCTCTTAACGAGTTTTGCTAGAGATTTTTCAACCATAAACTTTACTGTTTTGTAGCAATCATGTGCCAGCAGGCTTTACTCAGGTTTAGCCCTTCTGATGACAAAGAGATTTCCTGAGGCAAAGTCATGCTATACCACCTTAGGAACATTTCCACTAACATCGTCTATAATTCTAAGAGTTACGCATTAGACTTCAAATAAATGGCAGATCGATCAATGGGAAGATTCATTCACTCATTGAACGAATATTTACTATTGACCATGTGTGAAGCATTATTCTAGCACCTGGAAATATAGCAGTAAAAAAACACAAAAATAATTCCCCATCTTCGTGTAGCATGTACTCTACAAATCATCATCTGATAAAGATACTTTCACCAACTAAAGATACTTCATTACCAGAGCTGACTCCCATCAACACACGTGACAATGAATTAACACTAACACAAAGAAAACAGTAGAAAAAAGTGTCCTGCCTAAGACACTAGTTTACACGTCCAGATGATGAGGGCAATTACAAATCACCTAGACTTCAAAATTCCATGGATTCCAAAGAATATCTACCCACGAAGATGATCAGCTCTTTTCAGTATTCTTTCTCTGATAATGGCTAATTCATAGCCTGCAATGACCTTCAGATTTTCTGCCGCTGCTTCCAGCCCTCTCAGTTCTCTCTGCCTGTGCACTATAGGCAGCGTTTATATTGGCAAATGTTCTCATTACTCTGGTTGTTAACCTTTGGAGGCTTTTTCAGAAATTACTCATCAATCTCTGTCTATATAGTGTCTCCGTTCACCGCCGTCTCTGAGCCTTGTTGAAAGTCTGAAGCTCAGGTTCAGTGTGGCCTCTGAAGACAAAACCGACCCGGCACAGAGCATCATCACCTGAGCCTGCACTAACAGCTTGTCGATCCTCCATAGAACATGAGGCTTGAAATTAAGTTCCTGCCAACCATATTGCTCTTACCTTTTACAAGAATTCCTCTGGAAGGGGAGCACTGTATCTAGGCATAGCAGGTCGTAAAAATCATCAGGGTGAAAGGTAAGATGTGATGGAACAGAGAAAAAACCCAAAGTGATGCTTAAGTAAGGAAATGCGGTCTTCCCCCTGCCTTCTAAGTCATTTGAACTGGAGTGTAAAACATTGGCATGTTTGGGGTAGGTCTACATAGGGGTATCAGAAAGTCCTGTGTACACAGAGAGTGAGGATCCCCAAGGGGAGAGGGGGAGGGGCCAGAGCGCTGGGCACGGTCAGGAAGGAGACATAAGGAAATAGTTGGTTGAGCCTCCCTGAGGAGCAGAGTATAGAGAAGACCCTTTGGAAAACGGAAATATCTGGTGGGATATTTCAAGTTGTTTCCTGAGGAGTGGGAGGGATCATCACTTCTCCTACCTGCCATATGGGATCAGAAAAGCTTATGTTGCTCTCTAATTTTTCCACTCATTTACCTAGCCAATCTGGCATTCTTCTAAGAGCTTGGGGTACATTACTGAGTACAGAATAGATCCTTTGCTTTGTGGAGGTTATATTCTAGGGAGACAATATCAATGAACATAATAAATAAGAAAATTACTATGTATTAGGTCAGAAGGCAATGAATACTCTGAAGAAAAAAAGAGATTACAACAGATTAAGAAAGATAGGAGATGCGGGGGTGGGGTAGGGCAGCGCTAAAAATGGATTAGAACGCCAGAGCAGGCTCTGCTGAAAGTTGACCTTTGAGCAACACCTTGAAAGATGTGAAGGAGTTAACCAAATCTCAGGGGTAGATTTCAGCAGAGGTGCCAGTACGAAGACCTTCAGGCAAGGAGCAGGCCTGGCGGGGGTCAAGAACAGCAAGTGGGCTTGTGGTGAAAGTGGAAGGAGTGAGGGAGAGCGTAGAGGGAGAGAAGATGGAGCAGATGGAAGGGCCCAACCGCATAGAGTTGTGTAAGGACTTTGTAAATTAGACAAAAAGAGAAAAGTCACTACCCGGTTTGAGTAAAGAGTGGCGCGATCTGACTTATGTTTTC